TTTGCCAAATTGCCAAACTTTTTTTTCTCCCTTTTCAAATCTCGTATCACATCGTAAAGGCATTTATTTTCAATAAAAAATAATAAAAAAGTTGAAAATAAAGTATCGGGTACTAATGTACTACAATACTGAAGTGCAGATAATTGCCACTATTTGCAACAAGTAGTATACTTGATAGTAGAAATCCTGCTATTTTAACATAGTGTTAATAGGTATTTGCACTTAGTGTAAATAGCATATTGCTAAAAAATACTGCTATTTTCACGTAGTGTAAATAGAATCTATTGCTAATACGAGATTTGAAAAGGGAGAAAAAAAAAGTTCGGCAAATGGTGGGATTCGAACCCGGGTCGATCGCGTCAAAAAACCAGGGTCACGCGCTTATCCATATGCAGCCAGGATTTGTCATTGTGTTTTCTGACTTGTTATAATGTTTTTTGAATTGTTGTTGTGCTTTCTGAATTGTTATTTTGTTTTTAGACTTGCATTTGCGTTTGTAACTTGTTATTTTGTTTTCAGAATTGTGATTTGCTTTGCACTTTACGGCCACCGTACTATCATTTACGAAAACAGCTACACCGGCAGTGAGTGAGTTAACTAGTACATACTTGTGAAAAGCAGGCGGGGCCCCCGAGCTCGACTAGTGCTTTTCCGGGAAACGATCGGACATATCAATATGCAGCTGATGGTTTTCGGGAGGATGTGGACGCGCAGGCGTGTTGCGGTGTGGGTGGATTTTGGGGCCCCTCGTGAACAGGGCGGCGTTTCTATGGGGAGGAGGTCTTTGATACGCCACATGGACCAGGACACATCGCACCTTCTGCGTTTGCTGTGATCGCATTTTTTCGGATGATACGTTGTAACAGCCAGCTACATCTCTCCCAAATCGGTCGTAGTCGCGTTTTGCAGTTGTGTTTATCTATTTAAGGCCCCTCGGCGCTGATCAAGGGTCTCTTTGAAGATTTTATGTAATGATCCGCTCTGGCAAGGAATATTCTGGACTCTTGTCTTAGCTGAGAATCAGTTTCCAATCAAGGCGTCACCTTTGGAAATGCGTCTTCCTCCGTTGGATACAACTTGCGCTGACGATCATTTATGAATAATAGCCTGCATCATATTGTCTGTAGATCTATTCCACAGGGGTCTTTCACATAAAGGATGGGGATCTGATTAAACAGCAGAGGCTGCCCACCTCCTCGATCATTTCATCATTCGTTCACCGAATACAGATTTGACGTTAATGTTTCGCCAGGAGGTTGGTGTCCTGTCTTTTATTCCGACTTGTTCGTACCTTTTCCAATACGAACAGAGGAACATGTCTCGGTATAATATCTACAGTCTGCTGGACTGGATGTATGGAGGGGTGGACCCCATGTTTGAGGGCAATGGGGGCCCTGAGTGCGCAGCCTTCCTCTCTCCCCGACAGAGAATATTTGAGACTCTGATCATTGTGTTCATTTCTATTCTGGAAGTGGTGGTGGCTATCAAAAAGATCAATGTCCCTAAAGAGGTCAGAGATGTGCGGAAAGATGGCAGGAGGAGCAAGGAAGACACCTGGGGCAAGAACCTGTTGCTTGTGGCTCTGTGCATGACTTTTGGAGTTGAGGTTGGGTTTAAGTTTGCCACAAAGACTGTGATCTACCTCCTCAATCCATGTCATGTGGTCACAATGGTACAAGTAAGTATGTTTATGATAAAATCATAAAAAGTAGCCTATTGGGTGTGGTTCTGCTTTTGTTGCAGAGGATATGGGCTGATGATGACTGAAAGGCTGTAGTTTCAGAATCCCATGAACACAACATTCAGTTTCAGATCGCTTAAGTGTGCTGCACCTGTGAGAAGTATAAATTGCTTTGGGTAAACTAGTAAATTAGAAATTAGTAGTAGTGACAGTTTTGGAGGCAATGCATTTTGTTTCGTTTCCAAGCTTTGAATGGCATTGCTTGCACCACTCATTTAAGAAATATGTTCTTACATGGCATAACACGTATAGGTGCAGTCCTGAACTTGTTCTCATTTGCAGTTCCTCTCTTACAGTTATCTGGCTCGCAAAACATAGGAAGGAAATTAGAGTTTAAAAGAGAGATAAGTTCTAAAAAGGAGGAAGTGTTGTCATTTTTTTTGTGCCGCTTTTTTGCAGCTGTTTAAACTGATGTACATTTTACTTTTTTTTTTTATATATATAAACATGAAAACGAAATGGAATGCTAATTCAAGAATCTCACAAAGCATGGCAAAAACATGTCTGGGTCATATTACATCCCAAAATGATTAACTCTGTTAATTCTTAGTCTGTAATGTGAATATGTATTTAATATTTTAATGTATAATATTTAAAATTGTTTACACATGGTAGTATCATTTGTTGTACTGAATTTAATTTATGCTGATTTACATGATGGTGTATTAACATACTATACTCTAATGGGGATGTTTTTAATCATTCATAATCTTAATGATTTAAAAAAAATATATATATACTCTAAAAAATGCTGGGTTAAATATAACCCAGCATTTTTTAGAGTGTACTGTACAAAACATTTCTTTTTTTACTTTGTGGATAAACTGTGACATGGGAAGTATGAATCTCGTAGAAAAATTCAAGACTTAATATCAAATTCCTCAAGTCAACACGTGTATTCGATTAATCAATAAATCAATGACAGATCAGTTGCAATATTGGCAATTGACAAATATGGATAGAGAAGGAGGGAAAAAGTTACAAAAAGAGTCAATAGAAGCATTCATACAGTCAAACATAATATAATTAACCAACATATTAAATAGAGGGGGAAAAAATCCACATACAAAAAAATGTCAAGTGTCAGCGTCTTTAGTGCCTTATTGATTTCGGAAAGTGGTTATTATATGGTTAAATGATGAAGACACTAATTTACATACTTTACCGTCAAGTAGTTCCAAACCTGTATGAGTTAGTTTCTTCTGTCGAGCACAGAAGAAGATACAGTATTTTGAAGAATGTTGGTAACCAAATAGTTGACGGTAGCCATTGACTTCTATAGTATGGACACTATGGAATTCAATGGCTACCGTCAACTGTTTGGTTACCAGCATTCTTCAAATTATCTGTGAGTACATTCATATAACATGCTTGTTAGATTGATCTGATTTAAATTCACATTTGCATCATTTTTAACATATTTGTTGACAGAAGTTTACAGCATTTCACTAATATTCTGCCAAAACAAAAGCTGGAGGATTTGGCATGTTAACAGCTTAAGAGTTTGAATGTTGGAAGACATAACTATTTAAGACAACGTATTGGAGCTTGTAGTGGTTTTTGTGAAGAGTGAAACCAGGTATGAACATCCAAAGGAACTTTCCATTAGCAGAAGAGTCTTTGTTCTTTGTGTTTGGATGTCTCGGCACTTTTCATATGAATTAAATGTAATATCAGTTCAAATCGCAACATATGCCAGAGATGAATTTAATTTCAGGGTGTACAAGTAAATACTATTTCACTTCTAAGGGTTTCGGTTGACTAAAAAAAAAAAGTTTAGGTTCCCTTGACCTAGATTAATAAATACTGTTTAAAGGGATAGTTCACCCAAAAATGAAAATTTGATGTTTATCTACTTACCCCCAGGGCATCCAAGATATAGGTGAGTATTATTTCTTCAGTAGAACACAAACGGAGATTTTGAACTCCAGTCGTTGCAGTCTATCAGTCGTATAATGCACGGCAATGATAACAAAATCTATGAGAGTAAAAAAAACATGCACAGACAAATCCAAATGAAACCCTGCGGCTCGTGACGACACATTGGTGTTCTAAGACACGAAACGATCGGTTTGTGCCAGAAACCGAACAGTATTTATATCATATTTTACCTCTAATACACCACTATGTCCAACTGTCTTTGGGCACGCACGGCATCCGGTGCGTGAGGTGTGTACGTGCTCTGGCGTAGTTTACGTTAATGGGTGTGTTGATATCCAGCTGAAGAGCAATCAAGCATAACTTCAGGCGAGCAGGCTCAGAAGTTGGGAATCCGTGGAAAGTCACCACTCCGAATGAGTTCGCGCGAGAGAATGTAATCTTTTAGTTTTAAGTCGGTTTGAACAATCCGGATAAGCGCAAGTAAGTACCATTTTGATTAGCCGTCGTACCTACAATGTTTGTGCACCGTGTAAATAAAGAGTGACGTATACACACGAGAGATCACTTCCGGCGCTTGCGTAAACTATGCCAGAGCACGTACACACCTCACGCACCGGATGCCGTGCGCGCGCCCAAAGACAGTTGGACATAGTGGTGTATTAGAGGTAAAAAATTATATAATTACTGTTTGGTTTCTTGCGCAAACCGATCGTTTCGTGTCTTAGGACATCAATGTGTTGTCACGAGCCGCAGGGTTTAATTTGGATTTGTCTGTGCATGTTTTTTTTACTCTCATAGATTTTGTTACCATTGCCGTGCATTATACGACTGACAGACTGCAACGGTTGGAGTTAAAAATCATCAAATGTGTTCTACTGAAGAAACAAAGTCACCTACATCTTGGATGCCCTGGGGGTAAGCAGATAAACATCACATTTTCATTTTTGGGTGAACTATCCCTTTAAGCACAGTAATGACTTAGTTACAGAATTGTTATTGTTAAATTCACCAATACAGTAACACTATTAATAAACATTAATAGTAACATAAATCTTTGTTAAAATACCTTTAATCATTAATAAAACTCTGTAATAATAATATTATATAACATTATATATAATAATAAAAATAGAAAATTGCCTCTTGATATTCTCATACTTGTTGCACGTTTATGGCCATTGATAAGCCAGCGGTCTGTTACTGGCTACTGCCTTCATGTTTCAACCTACTAAAAGACTATTGTTATTTTAGAGCTGCTTTACAGCAGAATTTTGATCTGACAAAGTTTGCATCATTGATTCTATTGCTTCCCTGTTTACCGTAAACGCTGTTTTGAAACCGTCTCTATTGCATAATGCACTATACAAATAAAGCTGAAGTAAAGCAAGTAGCACCATGAAATCACCAGTGTTGCTTTATTTGATATCACCATTTAAATCAGGTGTAAATATTTGATATATTGCCCAGCCTACTCCGGCATAAGCATTTCTTATTTTTTATTGTCCAGTTTTTCTAGGTGAGGCTTTCCCATATAACAAGCAACTAGATAAATCCTGGATTCCAGCTCCAGACTGCCCGTCTTTTGCCAGGCTTCAAATATGCATAAACTCCGCATGTGTTCTCAAGCACAGTACGCCATAGTAACTCTGTGGTTCCACTTATGTCAATAAACTAATGTGTGCAAGGCATACAGTATTTGAACAAGGCCCCAGGCTTATCATTTGGTAAATATTAGTCCATATTATGGAATAGTGGGGAATTGTCAACAGTCTCAATGGAACTCACACACAGACAATTTGTAAAACCAATAATAACAATAATACACAGGGAGATATGGGGAAATTAACATGCTTTTCAAATCCTTCAGTGCATGCAGAATGTAACGAAACATTATACTGTAGCAATTGCAAACATATTGTCGCAATATTTTCTCCTCTGCCTTGTGAAAAGCAAAGCAATCTAAATGTCAAGGTCATGATTTCCTACAAAACATGAGATGATGCACCAATGACGTTTGCATATATTTGATTATGTGCAAACATGGATGATGTTTTGATGCATTGATGAAGTAGAAGATTAGGAGTGAATAATAACTTCAGTCTGTTCATGAGAAAGTTACCAATAGCTCTCTATTCACTTTAGTTATATGGAAAAGAGCATGCACATTCTGATACATTTCTTGCGTGTGTGTGTGCCTACTTAACCATATTTTGGGGACACATTTGTTCCCAAAAGTGAGCAAAACCTGACAAAATCGCCAAAAACCTCCATTTGGGGACTTTCTCATTTGTAAAACTGGTATAAAAATAAAGTGTAAACCGTTTTTTTGAAATTGTAAAAATACAGAAAGTTTCCTGTGAGGGGTAGGGGTGGGTTTAGGTTAAAAAGTGTATAACTATCTGTATGTAAAAACAATAGAAGTCTATGTAATGTCCCCGTTTAGATAGCTAAACGTGTGTGTGCCAGGAAAGATTTTTCCAGGAAAGGTTTGAAACAACACGAGGGTCAGAAAATCATGACCTAATTTTTATTTGGGCTTAATTCCTTTAACCAGCAGAAAGGACTTTTCATATTTAAAAAAATTTAATATTTCTTTAAAATTACTCGTGCAGTAATTTTGGTGTAGTGACGTTTCTGATTTATGAGGGAGATAGTTGCATAGACATCTTTTAATTTTTTTTGTGGTAGACTGAATGCAATATTTTCCTACTCGCACTAATCTAGACACGACTCACTTCAGCGTTTCTTCACTCTCACTTTTTTCATTTTTTCAATTCATAGCAGATGCCTCCGGAGTTATGTGATGTTGTTACATTATTGGTCAAATAAACCAGTTGAACAGTTAGCAGGGGTGTGATTCTTCCGGATTAAACCAGAATTCCGTATTTTTTGGCCTAAAATCATGACCCACGTGAATCATGCAATTTACTGTTTAATATTAGCAATATTAAAAACAGTTTTTGCTGCTTAACATTTTTGTGAAAACAATGATACCACTCAAACATTTGTGATTTAAAAAAAGAGAGAAATTAATAATTTAATTATTCGTACAATAAAGTGATGAAAAGTGAGTGAAAACATTTAAAATGTTTCAAAATATTTTTATTTAATTAATGCTTTAATAAATGTAATAAATATAATGCCGTTCATTGAACTTTCTATTTATCAAAGAATACTGAAAAATAAAACACATCACCATTTCCACACAGAATATGAAACAAGCACGACTGTTTTCAACATTGATAATAATCAGAAATGATTCTTGAGCATCAAATCAAATTGTAATGATTTCTGAAGGATCATGTGACACTGAAAACTGCAGTAATGATGCTGAAAATTCAGTAATAGAGTACATTTTATAATATATTAAAATAGTAAATAAATTTGTATTAATATTTCACACTATTGCTGTTTTTACTTTATTTTTGATCAAATAAATGCAGCCTTGGTGAGCAGAAGAGATTTGTTTCAATATCATTAATAATTGTAATGCTTCCAAACTTTTGCCCTGTACTTTAATAATATCTATTCTATTATTAACAATTTTGTTAAATTTTATTCTATTCTATTCTATTAATTATTATCATGATTATTAAATGCTGCTTTTTATTTTTACAGGACAATAGTATGTATTATTACAATATAAGATACTTCTTTTAATGTGATATTTTTTATATAATTTTACATGAACATAATATTAATCATATATTTTTTTAAATAATAAGTGGGCGGCGTGGTCAGATGTTCCTACTTTTTTCGTCTCTATCTGATCACATGAGTTAGGCACATACACAATGTTGTTACATTACATTGCACTAATCACTGTTCCATGGCTTTTAATCTTACCTGGTGAGGCATAATGAACAAACTTTATTTACACAATCAGACTTATAATCAGTTATTAATAACTGTTAATGCATTAAAAAAAGGCAGTTCATTTTCTCACCCTCTTAATGTCATTTCAAACTCATAAGACTTTGGTTAATCAACAGAACACAAATTAAGATATTTTTACTGAAACCTGAGATATGTCTGTCCATCCATTGAAAGTCCAGGTAATCAAAACTTTGAAGATTCAAAAAGTTTAACAAATCCAATATGAATCAAGGGGTTTAATCCAAGTCTTGTGAAGAGATATGATCGGTTTATATGATGTACAGATTTGATTTAGGTTTTGTAAGAGTGCATTGTATACGAGTGTCCCATACTAGAACAATCTTCATTGGTTCTCATGCATGCATGATACACAAAAACCAGTGCAGTTTGTGCACAAGCTTCCATGTGTACGGATTTGCTCTATGTGTGTGTGAATAAACAGCTAAATTAAATCGGTGCGTCATAACGCAGATTTTGCATGGACAAACACCACTCGCATATTCATCAGAAAATGTCCAAATCTAGTTTAGACTATCATTAGCCAGGTTTCCATCCAACGATTTTTTGCAAAAAAATATTTAGCGCTTAATTCTTTTTACAGGTATAGCTGATGGAAACGCCATTTATCGATAAAATTTCTCATGTGTCGACACAATCTTTTTCCGTTTAACTTTAGCGCATAAATTCTATATCGATACTTCAAATGTCCCAAAAATTTGATTGGAAACACTTTTTGTCGAGGAAAGGGGCTTTGACGCAAATAAATGTGGTGTCACATGACAGAATTAGCCTATAGGCAGCGTCCGTGTTCGTGGTGTTGCTCACGTTAAAGCACCATTTCTCTGTAAAAGCGCATTAAATCATATTCATATTATTGTATCTAAAATTTTTATATATGGTACGAAAAAGACGAGTTACCTCTCAAACATACATATCTTAATTTAATGTTGCTTTAATACGTTGCAAGTTAAAATGTATTCATTTTGCTCTGAAGATGAAAGTTGTCGAGTTAGTAATGCTTAACTGCGTGCGTGAGGCGCCGGCACGATCACTTTAATTTTTGTTTTCCTTATAAAAGTGGAAACAACTTACAATACTCGTTCATTTGTGGTCATATAAGAAATTATACGAAACTCTATTCTAACTATTTCTTTTATTTGTGTACATCCACAATCATTTTCTCCATTCGCAGAAGCGCTGCAGGTGCGTGACCATGTGAATCCTCACGTTCTGTTGTTTATGCTGCTTTTTGCATGTATAAAATGAATCCCTGGAAAACAAATTTAGATATTTTTAATGGGTCACAGCCACGTATCAATTCAAATTTAATTGAATTGTAATTGAACATAATCTTGTCGGTTAACGGTTAATAATGGCTTAACGACGGTTAGGAGAAATAAAATAACCGAAATTAACATTCCTATTTCTAATAGGCTACAGTCTAATAAAAGTTAATCAGAAAAATAATAATACAACTGCACCTGCTTATGAGTATTGCTTGATGATCAAGTATCTAAATAGCAAAGTAGAAAAAAACCCTCATGAAACTTAATAAAATTATTTTATGTAGGCCTATACAATTTAATAATAGGCTATATAATAAAGTTTTTTGTTTCAAATGTATGAAGAACAGGCTACTAGCCTATATAATTTGCACAATAGGTGAAATTATATATGGAAACAGCTCAAGGGCCATTTTTTTGTGATACGCCAAAACTTATCCGACAATTCGTTTTTTAGGGATGACGTCATCACGCACACCATTTTATCGGTAAAAGGCCAGTTGGATGGAAACAGGCTGGACACAGCAAATTTCGCAAAGAAAACTGGATGGAAACCTGGCTATTGAATTAAATAAGCACTTAAAAATATCATTGCAAGTGGAAAAACATAGTTTTTGTATTTGAACGGCTGTAACAGTATTATCCTAATTGTTCATTCTGCCTTGGAGTGAGCATAAGAGAGTGAACGTGTTATGCAACGTCAGGTTCTTCTCTAGTTTGACTCACCTGGGATAATGATATCTGCTGACAGGCTTCAACTTCCTTCCTTTTTGTGCCATGCTCCCATACTGCTCTTCATACCCTGGCTACCCTCCCAACAGATACTAAATTATGTCAATTTGTGATCTCATTAACCCTAGATTAGATATGGCATCCTTAGTTGCCTTTTTCACTACTGAGAGAAAAGACCACATGGAACATTCTCACTCGGATCAGAACCAACAAATGGCTATCTCATAAACAAATGTCTCTCTAATTTGAAACATTGAAATGTATTTTAATATTAACATTTATTTGAAATATTAAGATGGTTTAAACGGCTCAGTTTTTAGAGCTGTAATTTGAACAGTTTACGTTGATGGTATTGTTAAACGGGTGTTTTTGCGTTACAGAGAATAAGTAAGGAACATAAAAATGATCAGAGAATATATAGGTGTATACGGATTATTTTTGCAATAATACAACTGTTACAAAAGTTGTTTTGGGTAGTTCTCCATGCAACGCTTAGCTGGTGCAAAATGGTGTCACGTAATCTCCAGATCCACCAGTTTGATTAACACTCAGCCACTGAAAATGTGATAAACTTGTTCTGATAAGCTATGCACGGCATGGCCCTTAGCCAAAAGATTCCATTTATAAACCTCCAATACCTAAGGTACACAGTACCCTCATTTACAGCAGCTCTAACGGCTTGAACGAGTAGTCTTCTCTTTGCAGCAATGGTTGTTCTGTTCTATATTAAGAGTTTTGTTTCAGCATTTATTTGGAATTGCTATCCTCTTGTTGATTTAGTCAAATTTCTGTCATCATTTACTCGCGCTCATGTCAAGTCGTTTGCATTACTAGTTTAGCTGCTAGATGTAATATCTGCTTTATCCAAAAGAGTCATTGTTATTGAGCTTTATCACTCTCTCTTTTGCAGATCTTCCTGCTTGCATGTCCCCCCTGTAAAACCGCCATGGTTATTTTTAGGTAAGTACTCAGCAACAGGTTGCACTGCAGAGAACTGTGAGCTTTTTTGATAGTTTTTGTCTTCTCGTGCAATTTAAGGCCCCGTCCACACGAAGACGCGTTTAGCTGTATATGCATACATTTTGTATCGTATAGGCGTTTCGTCCACACGGAACCGGGCCCCAGAGTGGATAAATCTGAAAACGCCGCCCTTGCGTTTTCGTGTGGACAGCGAATCCGTATATTTTCTGAGACGATGACGCTAGTCAGACACCGCTACGTCACGTAACAGCAACAAAGACATGAACAAACACTGAATGATTGTCTTTTTATTAACTAACATTAACACATTAATAAATGTATTGTTCCATGTTCGTTTGTATACCGTTTATGCGCATAGTCCAAGTCGTCTTCTCCGTTTTTAGTGTATCTCTGTGGCAGAATTACAGCGCTACATACTGGTCTGGCATTTATACAACATCGTTTTGTGTCTGTTTCGTGGTTTCGTGTGGACGCAGATATTTCTTGAGACGAGGGGAAAACAAAGATCAGATAGGGAAAGCTCTGGATTCGTGTGGACGTAGCCTAAGTCTAGTGACAGTAACTACTGTAGTGTTTGGCCTCTCCAGCATATGAGGAATGCAAACCTATGCGTATCACCAGACTCTTCCTAAAATAGCCTTTCAACCTTTCAACACCTTTTTCTGTGAATGCTTAGCATACAGTGTTGGGGGTAACGCATTACAAGTAATACTTAATTTGGCTTTTAATTTTGAGAATTGGCTGACTGTATGGCTGAGGGTTCATTCACAACCTCAAAAGTGTAATGATTTTAGACTTTATAAATAATAATATTAATAATGACAACTTAAGGTGAGTGTGTCAGATAATTCCTTTTTATATTACGGGCCACCAGCCAAGAATTTCACCTTGACAAAGGAACATTGGAAGATTGACTTTAGAAGATTGTTGAATAAATAAGTAATAAGTTAAACCTTATTCTGGATTCATGTTTTATTTGAAGGCAAAAGGCATCTGTTTGTTGTCCTCAAAAGCCTGATCACATTGGAATGAAACATAATAACAAGATACATGAATAATTTTTGTTGACATAACTATTTGGGCAGTAGATCTGAGTGTAAGATCTAAGTGTTGCTTGTCATTGGAATTTTAACACACTCCTATCTAATTAAGACATGATGTAAAGCTATTTTAAAGCAATCGGTATTCTGTAAAGCGATACGTAAATAAACGTGACTTGATGATTAATATTATACCACGTTTAATAAGTGATGAACAATTGCTATGATATATACTCAACTAATGTCACATCATAAACATACGCTCTTTTGTAAAGCCTTTGCAATTTTGACAGAGCTGTGTTAATGTCCCTGTTTTGACTTTTCATTATAATGACATGGTGATGCTAAATTCCTCACAGGAGCTTTAAATGTCTTGAATGTGAGACATGCTGAATTGGTAATGTCACCAGATGGCAATAAATTATAAGCAACCCCAGCGATGACTTGAATTTTAGATTCATCACATTATAAATTGATTTATTTCTAAATGAATCACATGAGCTTGAATCCTTGCTTTTCAACATTTTGATGTGAAAAACTGCTAGCAAAACTTTGCAATTGGAGTCGTTTGCTTCGTTAGTAACTGCTTTGAATAAACGTTTCAAAATAGACTGTGACCCTCAAGTCTTAGGTGAGCGTTATACAGCTCACCATTAATTCACCAAAACACTGACATTACATCACAGATTAAAGGATTAGTTCACTTCCAGAATAAAAATTTCTTGATCATTTACTCTCCCCCATGTCATCCAAGTTGTTCATGTCCTTCTGTCTTCAGTCGCAAAGAAATGAAGGTTTTTGAGGAAAACATTCCAGGATTTTTCTCCATATAATGGACTTCAATGGGGACCAATGGGCTGAAGGTCCCAATCACAGTTTCAGTGCAGCTTCAAAGAGCTCTACACGATCCCAGCCGAGGAATCAGGGGTGTGTCTAGAGCATTTTAAATGGGGGGGGGGCCCAGTCGGGGGCACTGGCTCAAAAGAGGGTGGCGTGGCGTGGAGTGGCAT